CAAATTTAAAATATTCCTCCATGTCTACAAATGCATTTCCATTTTAATTTTGCTAATTAGAATGCATTAATTTAATTTAATTCATTTAATTAAAAAGTTCATTCTAGTGAAGGAAATGAAAAATTAAAATTAAATTCTTAAATTTGAATTTTCAATTTTGCACCAGATGTCACACAAATGGCTATGGGAAATATAAAATCAAAAACACAAATTGTTCATATAATATTGATATTTTGCATACTGCATTTGAAATGTAATACTTCCATATACAGTATATTCTATAAGAGTAATTCTAGCTAAACTAATTTTATATCGAGTGAGGCTTTTAAACACAGCATTAAACTGGATGTAGATCTGTAGACAACTGGATGTATGTTTAACTAATCTATCTGCTTCAGCTCACTTTCTAATCAAACTTCAGAAACGACGCGCTCAGCTAGTCCTGAGATTATGAGTGAAATCCGAGAGGGAATTTAGTGCGAACAGAGCGAGGCCGGACTGCAGAGCAGATGATTCATATGACGGCTGAATGAGTCAGTGTCTCCTCTGCATACTAATAATCACACCAGTTTACTAACGAAGGGAAATTAGCGCCGGTGTGAAGCTGAGGAAACACCAGCGCTCCGGCCCGTGCAGAAAACTGCTTGTTGACACTGGGAAACATATTTCTGTCGGCACTTCATCAAAAATTTATGCTCAGACGCTACTGCGTGGTGAGAGCTAGTTGAAGTAATTAACCGCCACATGGTTCATGGTTGTGTGTGTGTGTGTGTGTGTGTGTGTAATGGGAAATGAAGAGAGCCGGAGGAAGAGGCACGGTGGTCTGTCAAGTACTTGAGAGTCGGCATGTGGCGCATTATTGCCCTAATTACCATGCAGCATATGTTTGGTTAAACGCGCTAAACCTGCCGAAATCTAGACGACTGTTCGCACACTACTGCCAAACCTCTGCAGGGACGCATGGAGCCGTTGGAACCCAGCCAGCACAATTCACTCAAGTCCTTTCAGATCACTATCAAGGGCGCTGATCATAAAAGGTAAAGGAAACGGTGTGTGTGTGTCCCATTTTTAGATTTGTGTTATTTCATATGAAAAGGTTACTGCTGAAATCATATTTTTCCACTTCATGCCTAAAGTACCAGACCATAACCATCATAGAAACACATTTCCAATAGCTGATTCTTAACTATTACTGTACCAACAATAGGGTACAGGACTCTTTGCACACCACACAGGAAGAAAACACCTGGCAACCACACATACACCCTTGCAACACCCTAATAACCACACAGAACACACACACACACATACATATATATATATATATATATATATATATACATATACAGAGTTCTGGCATGAAACTCTAGATGGCACAGTCCGATAGGTCTAACTCAATCTGACCTAATGACATCATAATCACATGGCACAGCTGATTGGTTCTCTCCTGTATCGGTAGCCAATGAGCTCGCTGCTCAACATTCAAATATATGATTCGTGCTTGCAGTAGCAGTTGCAGCTTGCTTCAGAAACCCTCCACCTTCCCCAGCTCCACCTGTATAGATCTGCTACGAGGTGATTCATGTATGCTATATGGGGGTTA